AAAAATGACACTTGAAATTAATTAGTGTATTGTTATAAGAAAGTTTGTGGAAAGAAGAGGGTTCTTTAAATAAATTACAGAAATGTAAAATTTCTTTTATTAAATTTCAAAACTAAGTAATTGATTTTATCAGAGACAGAAATTTTTTTTTTATATAAGGATAGTATGTAAAAGTTAACTTACTATATAAGTTGAAAATTTGCCAATTTATTGATATTTTAAAAATCATATTGAAAATTAATATTGCTAATTAAAATTATATTAATTATGAAACAAATAACAATAAAAACTTTTAATAAAGTAGGGTAAAATGTGATTCATTTACAAATGAAATTTAACGATTCCAACAAAATTTTATAAAATTTAATGTGAGCTCTAAGATTCTTTGAGAATTTATTAATATTAAAATATTTCTTTCTCAAATTGAATACTTCATAATATTGTAGTATTGAAGCAATTTTCCATAAAATATTGATTCTAAATAAATTTATTAAAATTTTACAACATTATTACAAAGACTATTGTAAGAATGCAAAATAACAGTTGAAATTAAAGTAAATCAATTACTAAGCTTTTGCGATTTATTAATATAAAATTGTTTAATTAAACAATAAAAAAATATATAACAAATTTATATATTTATGGTTTATTTGAGCTATTTATATGTAAAATATTAAAAAAAAAATTGTACAAAAAAAAAACAAAACAGAAACGAGAAATAAGGAAGAAATTCTAATGGCCTTCACTTTTCTATTTAACTTTTTTCTTTTTTAAAAAAACAAAATAAAAATTATCATTTTTATTAGATCTGCACTTTAAAAATTGTTTTTTTTTCATATTTTTTTTTTATCATCTTTACTTCTTTCAAAATACAACACTTTTCACTGTTTTATTTTTATTTTTCATTTTTTTAATATACATTTATGTTTTTATTTCTTGAGAATACTTCGTTTCTTTTGCTAATTTTTCTTCAATTTTAAATATTTTGTTATGACTAATTGTTTTTTTTTTTCTTTTAATTCTTTCATGTTATTTTCTAATCCTTCTTATTTTTCTAGTTAAAGTCTATTAATTTAATTATAATATAGATACATAATATATACATATATATATATACGTACATATTTTTATAGGTGTATACCAAATAAGGATTTATATAAACACCTCAATTAGTTTGATTTTTTTCTATTAAATTTTTCATAATTATAAAATATTTATGTGAACATAATTATTATAGTGTAAACACATAATTATATAATATACATAATATAAGAATACATTAATATACAATAATAATATAAAAAATTTTATAATTTATATTCGTATTATATGCACGCAATATAATATGTACATATACCCCATTGTATGCACCGATTTATTCAAATATATTTGATATATTGAATTAAATAAAATATTTAAGATAAAATTTTTAATATTAAATTATTTAAATTTTTCTTTGTCAATTCAATTTTCTTTTTCTTATATTAGCTTTAACACTTTTCAATTTTTTTCCTATATTTTATAAATTTATATGAAAGTTCGTCGAGTTGTAATTGAAAAGTATTAAATTAATTTAAAAAAAAAAAAAATGTCAAATCAATATGAAAAATCTATTTTATATTTTATATTAACATGTTTATTTAGAATTAGAAATTATAAATGGGGTTTTTTTGAAGCAATATTCTATAATTTAGGAATAGTTTACATTTTAAATTAAAATAAAATGAAAATATGTATTTCAAGAAATTTCTGAATCAATAACTTTTGATTATTTGATTGACAATTTTTTGGAAATTTAACGAGCTCTAAACTTATACAGTGATTTAGGTAAGTACTTACATTTCAATTAACTTGATTTATTTTTTTTTTTTTATTCAACACGATATGTTAATGGGGCAGTATTCTGCATAATAGAACCATTTCTTTTTCGAAATTTTTTGAATTATAAGAATAAATTTAAAATTTGATTAAAATCAAATTGATATACTTATCTATTTGGAAAATACAATTATAAATTTGCATTATTTTAAAAAAAAACATCAAATTGTTTCATTACAAATTAAATAATTATTAAATTTATAGAAATAAAAATAATTATTGAATTTATACAAATTAAATAATTATTGAATTTAATATAACATATTTAATAAAGTTTGTAACAACAAAATATAAAAAAAACTTGATTCAATTAGGGAATTGAATTTGGCATTCCTTTTTTCAAATAATGAAATTAAATACTATTAAAATTTTATGTTTTACTATTTAGAAAAATGATCAGGGTGAAAACTTTAATATTAAAAAAAAACCATTGCATTTAAATTAACATTAAATAATCAAAAATTAATGATTCAATTAAAAATAGAAAGAAAGAGAATTCAATAAAGCTGAAGGATTTTGAAAAATGTGTTCAAATTTTATACTATAAATTTATTTATTTATTATTTTTTCAATTTTTAATTACATTAGTGTTATATTTTATTATTAGTTTTCTTTTTTTTTCATTTTTTTTATTTTTGTATTTTATATAATTTTTATTTTTTTTTTTTTGCTTCCTAAAATTTAATCCTTGTTATAATTAATATCTCTAAATTATTTGCTCTCTGTATTAACACATATTATTTTTTTTTTATAATTTTTATTCAATTTTCCTTCTCTTTGTTTTATTTTTATTTTAATATTACGTTTAACAGTATTTTTTCTTTATTTCTTTTTCCTTATCAATTACAATATATTATCTAATAATTCTGTTTTCAGTTTCATTTCTAATATTATTTCATTTTTTTTTTTCTCATTTTTTTGCATTTTTCATTAATTTATAAATGAAATATTCAAATATATTCAAATATATATATATATATATATATATATATACATATGTATGTATATATTATATGTGTATATATATATAATTATATTTCTGTCAATGCTTATAAACTAACTTTTTTAATTAATTAATTTTTTTTTTATTGCGTTCACTATACAAATTAAATTTTCAACGCGCGTTTCTTTGTCACCAGTTTTCTTTAATTTTTAAAAACATTTTTTTTTTTTTATTTAAATAATAATTTATTTATTTGTTTTTTGCTTAATTCAAATAAATGATACATATATGTTTTATATAAATATATATACATGTATTCATATATACTAAGGACACATGTACATATATTTATATACAAATATATATGTAATTATAGCTTTAGTACTTTTTTTCTTTAATTAATAATAAAAATTTCACTTTTTGTTTTCTCACCTTGGTGTGACAAAATCAAGGAAAAATTGCAATTTTTTTATATGTAAAATAAATATTTTTTTTCATTACAAATTACTTATATCAATATAAATATATATATATATATGTATATATATATATTTATAAATGCATTTATATTTTATATATGCATATGTAAATTATAATAAAAATTGAAAGAATTTAAATTTTGTGATGTATATATAGCTTTCATTTATTTTAAATGCGTGTAAAATCAAGATAAAATAATAATTAAATGTTAATAAAAGCTATATATTTAGAAAAATAAGTGAAAATATTTTCAATTTAAATAAGATAAATAATTGACATTAAAAAGATCTTATTACACATCTTCAAAAGAATATTAGGAAAGAGAAAAAAAATATAACTTATTAATTAATTAATAGAACTAACTATAAAAAAAATTATTTAACATAAATTATATAATTTTTATTTATAAAATTTAATTAAAATGAGAAAAGATGAAAAAGAAATTATTATTTACTAATAATAAATCCTCTTAATTTTTTTTTTTTAATAAAATTGATTTAATTTTTTTATTTTTTTTTTTCTATTACTTTTTTCTGTTTGTTTTTTGGTTAAATGCATTTGAAAAATCGTTTTTATTTCGTAATATATAAAATTTTTAAAAGAGAAAATTAAGTATAATGATAACAAATAACTGGGAATATAAATTTAGGTCTAAATTCCATAATTATTCAAATTAATTTTATAATAATTATAATTATTAATGAAATAAATGATAATGAGTTTTTATGTTTTTTAATTAAAATTATGGCGCCGTATAGGGTAATTTAAATTTAGTGTGATATGGTTACATAGTTTTGGCAAAAAATTGCTAGACGTATTAAAATACTCCTTCATTTTTAAAAGAAAAAATTTATATATTACCATATTCAATTTATAATTTCAGTGAATTTTTCTATTTTCGAGCAATATTATATATTTTAATTTAAATAAAATTATTTTGAAGACGATCAATAGCAGAATAGCAACCAAAATTCTTTATTTTTAAAGAATTTTAAAATTATATTTTATTGATTATTTTATTGATATCAATCACACTAAATTTTCCACTAAAAATTTTATGATAATAATATATAGTATAATAGATTGAGTTATATTCAATAATATAAATACAATAATAAATAATATTTTAACAAGTGCAAATATTAACAAAAATTTGTATAAAAAAAAAGTATGTATATTTATTTTTATAGCCATATTGTATATCATATACATAATATGCATTATGTATTTTTATTCAAATAAAATAATATTAAAAATTATTAAAAATTATGATTCCGTGCATAGTATATAACATAATTGCATTTCGTAAATAATTTATTTGTTTATTTTTATTTATTTATTTGTTTGTTTTTGCATTTAAAATTGTTATCATTATATGTGCAATATTTTTATGTATTTTATTTAACATCATATTAAATATATTTTGAAAAAATTAAGTTAAAATATAATATATTTATATAATAAGAATATGTTAGTAAATATTATGTAAATAATGTTTCATCTACTTTTATAATTGTAATAATTTATAATTAATTTTTTATTATATTATTTTTCTTTAATAATTTATTAATTGTCATTAACTCGATGTCAGTATTACAGTATTAAAAGTTCATTTTCTAAAAGTAATTTGCTTGTTTTCTTCATTCTTACTTTTAAATAAATAAAATTTAAAACATGTTGTACATATATATTTTATAAAAAAAAAAAAAAAAAACTACAATGCAATTTAAAATTTATGACTTGATGAAAATGAAGAATTATACATAAAATTTTATCTAAACCGAACGTTAACATTTATAACAAAGTTAACATAGCTGCCTATTTAAGACAAAGGACTAAATCCCTTCTAAAAAAATTCATAGATTTTCGAAACGAGTCTATAATTTTTCTACTCCACATCATAAGCCTGCTCTTATGTATATCATCAAATTTTGATTAAACAACATTCGAAACTAATACTCGAAACATTCTTTACTTGTGATAAATGAAAATAAATTAAATGATCTAATTTTAAAATATATGATCACCAACTTTTGATTATGAAGTGAAAAAATGTCTTAAGAAAATCGAATTTAAAATCATGTTAAACTAAAGTCACGTAGATCTATTGGTGACTATTTCATTGGTAAAATATTTGCTATATTAAAAATTTTCTGCTAAAACTTTTCGGTTCATTGTTCTTAACCCACTCATTAAATGCGAGTTTCTACAAGTTATCGTTATGTTAGACCTATGTATTTTTGCTTAGGACATTATTTAAATTGTATTTTCATTTATTTTATAGGAAATCAGTTGGTGAGAGTAATAAGTAAAATATTTTAAAATTAAATAGATTATTAAAATTAATCATAATAAGCTTTTAATTATTACAATTCATTTAAATATTTTCATAATTAACAATTTATTAAATTTATGATTTCAATATAATTAGTTTTATTAATAAAATTAAATAAAAATTCTTGTAATTAAAAACGATATTAATAAGTTGTTTCAAATAACAACATAATTATTTAAAATTTTTAAAATACTCTCACAAACTCGAAAGAAAAATTTAAATAAATATATATATGTACAATTAATTTTCAAATATACAAATGAAAAATATATAAAAATATTTGCAAAATTTTAAACGATAATAAAAATATTATTAAGCCCGTTTTACACATTTAATTCAATTTACATTATATGTATATAATTAAGAAAAATTAATTATTATACATATTATAATAACATCAAATCAGTGCTTTTTGTTTTACATAATGAGTAATTAATAACAATATTTTTTTTGCAAATTAATTAAAAATTTCGTAATTCCAAATTTATATTGTTTAATTCATACATTTTGCAAATGAATTTAGTTATTTAAAAACAAATATATATATACAACTTTTAAATTTTAATTAGTTATTAAAAAATTCTTGTGAAATTTATTAAAATTACTCATAATAATGCTATATTTATGATAATAATTACTCATAATAATGAAAATAAAATTTAAAATACAATATATTTTTAAAATGTAATATTATTTATTTTAGCATAATGCCATATTAATTTGACAATTTAATCACACTTAGTTTCATTGTGTAAATTCGGCTTAAAATAAACATGTGGTTAAAATTAAAACAGAAAAAAAAAACAATTATTTTAAATAAATTTTTTATTTAAATATTTTTTGAGAATAAAAATACGAAAAATTTGAATTGAATTCTAAACAAAATTATGTTAGGGAATCAAAAAATATTTAAGAATTCTAACTGAAATCAATTGTGTTTGACTAAAATTTGATCGTAGACAATTTTTATTAAATTTTATAATTTTTCCCATATTACGAAATAAAAACGATTTTCAAATTTTGAGTAGATTCTTTTTTTTTTTTGTAATAATTTATATTCTATTTTCTAATAGCGGTTTTTTTTTTGTTCTTTTTTTGATTTTACAGAATTTCGAAAATCTTAACACTCTACAATACAATTTTTTTTTTTTTGTTTATTTTTCTTTTTTAATTTTTCATCTGATTTTGTACCCCTAAGGAATTTTTTTAATTAAATTTATTTGTTTTGTTTTTTTTTTTTATATATATTTTTAATTTTTTTTTATGTGTTCTGTGTGTTTATATTGTGTGTATGTGTAAAGGTTTTCTTTGTATTTTCTTTATTATATTTTTTTTTATTTTTTTATTTATAGTCAATATTATCAATAAATTTAATTTTTTTCTTTTTTTTTGTTTTGTGATTTGTTTAATAGAAAATACCGATACATTTCCTTAAATTTAATTTTAATTAGTCAGATATATATATATATATATATATATATATATATATATATATATGTATATGTATTCTACTTTTATATTATGTACTTATATATATATACATATATATATGTATTTATATTTATATTATTATTATATATATATAAAATGCATTCATATATATATATACATATATATATATATGTAATAAATTTATTTAAGTTCAGGCATAAAACTCTCTATTATTTCCATTTTTTGCATATGAATTAACAGCTGGTGATCTTTTTGGTTCATCTAAAGCATAACTTCCTTCATCCTTCTTTCGCATTCGGTATACAATAAACATAACAACTAAAATAGCACATAAAAGACCAACAACAGCTCCACCAATAACAGCTAAAAAAAAATTAAGAAAAAAAACACAAAAATTAATAATTTTAATTTTCTAAAATAATTAACAATAAAACTCTATGTAATATAGAAAGAGTAATTGAACTAAAAAAAATTGTATAAAATTTCAAAAATTACAAACCTGCCAAAATTCCTGGTTGAGCAAAGAAGCTCGTCGTTCTGTCTTCGTTTTTAGCATTCATTATCAATACGTCGTTACCACCACCGTTTGTTTGTTGATCTGTTGGTTTATTATGATCGATATCTAAATTAGAGTCAGATTTTGAATCTTTATTTGATTCGCCAGCTAAAAAATATTAAATTGTACGAAAAAAAAAAACATGAATTTCAAATTTGATTCTAATGAATTCTACAATAAAAAAAAAATAATAATAAAATAAATAGAAATAAAATCGAAAAACTAAAACGAAATGTGCTCTTCTTAAAAATTATGTAGTAAAAATAATGTTTTTAATGTGTTATGTTATTTTGCTTAAATAACTAATAAAATAAAAAATAAAACTTAATAACTATTTTCTATAAAAGTATGTTAAACTTAAAATAATATATATATTATGACTTGCTCTTTTTAATGATGTTGTTAAAATTAAAATAAAACTCATATTTAAATAACAATGATGAATTAAAAAATTTGATTTAAATGGAAAAAGAAAATAGAAAAAAGAAAAAGACAACCTAATGAGAATGTTTTTTATGAATGATTTTTTTTTTTTTTTAAGAAGAATATGATTTTTTGTATGATATATGCTTAAATAAAAAAAAAAAATTTCAAAAGATGAAGAATGATACACAACATAAGAGTATATAACTGAAAAAGCATGAAAATTTTAGCTCTAAAATCATTTAGATGAAAAATCTTTATTATTATATTTAAAATGTTTTGTATTTTTATTTATTTAATTTAATATTAATTCCATTTATTTCTTTAAAATTGTCTTAAAGTTCAAATAGTAAGATGATTATGTTGATGATTTTAAGAAGAATTTTTGGTAATTTTTGTCATTTTTTTATCGTTTATTTTGATATAATTAAGATGTACAAATATATTATAGTTATTAACAGAACAGGAAAATCCAAAAAAAAAAAAAGAAAATGGAATTTAATCGTAAAAGAACAAAATTAAAATTTAAGGAAAGAAAAGACGAAGCGTTTTCGTAAATACTCAAGGCTGCAACTACAAATTTTGAATCAATTTCTGTATAAAAACAAAAATAATTAATAAAGTATTTATTAATTTACGAAAACGCAAAACATTTAAAAATAACGGCTTTAAAAAAAAATAAAACAATGAAAAAGGGAAAATCATTTCTACAGGTTGCTTTAATAGGGTAAATTGTCTGTAATATAGAAGAAATTGAAAGGGGGGCCTTAAATTGCAATCACAATTTTTTTTTTTTGAAAATTTAATAACAAAATATTTAAGATAATAGAATATCGATAGAATGGTCTAGATGTAAACAAAAATTAGGACTGCGAGTGAATATTTTGTAAAATGTATACTTGGAAACTGAATAACAAATTCAATAAAAAATTTCGGAAATAAAATTTTGGAATTGCAAAATATCAAATTTAATAATAAAATATTTTATTGTCATCTATTAAGTAGATAATTAGTGAAGATCCAATTTCCTCCAACAAATGATAATTTAAAAAGGGACTAAAAAAGTATTATCTAATTTTATATATTCTTTTTATATTCTTTTATTGTTCATTTACAATTTGTTCGAATTTTAAGCTATGTATCGAGTTTTCAACTTAAAAGCAACCTGTTTCAAATAAGGTATTCGATTTATTATAAGAAGACAAAACAAGGGTTTACAATCAAAGGTTAATTTTGTTTTTCTCTTATACAATAATTTTTATATGATTTTTTTTTTTCACCTTAATTTATTTTTACCTTTCTCATTGGATTTTATTTTACCGTTGTTTTAAAAAAATATTTGAGAGATCGTAAATTTAATGTAAAATTGTAGTTTCAGCACAAAAATATTTTACAAAAAAATACTGGCCGACAATAAAAAATTGGTCATTACTATAATAAAAAAAAAATTTAAAGCAAAAATAATAAAATTAAATGAGAAAAAGAGAAAAAGGAATAAAAAAATAAATATAAAATTATTTTGTTTAACCCTTCAAGAATCAAATAATTTGCTACATTTTAATTTTTTTTTTTTTAATCAATCAATTGAGATTTTCTGGTACCAAATTACTTTCTATCGAAATTAGTAGCGTTATTGCATCTTAAGGTACTTAAAAATCGTGCAGATTTGATCTTAAACAGTTTATATGAATATTTAAAAAGAAGATGTTTACGATAACATTTAGCAGAAAAAAAATTTGAATATACCAAAGGTTTTTATATTAAATTCAAAATTTAAGCAATAAATATTCGACAGTTTAGAAAAGGAAGGAACAATTTTGAATAAAAATTGTTAAATTAGAGCAGAAAACATTGTTGTGAGGACAAAATTGAAGACAAATTGAAAAAAGATAAACATATTAATAAGAAAATTTGAGCGTTTGTTAAATACAATTAGTTACAATTCAAATTTTTTAACTTTAATTTGATCGTAAAACAGAATTTGAATGAAATGAATAATTCCAATTGAATGAATTTCAAAAAAATCTTAATTTTCAACAAAAAAAAAAGGTTAGTCTACAAATACAAAACGACTTCAAATTGTATAATTTTTATAAAATTTTTACAAAATTTGGAAAATTACTGAAAAAATACTAAAGTTATTCAAATACTTGATTTAAAAATTTGCTGGACAAAACAGACCTTTAATTGAAAGCTAAAGTTTGAAGGTGTTAATTTGTTGATTGAAAAACTATTTAGAAAATTTAGGTTGGAAATTGAACAAAAATTTTTTTCAATTGAGAAAAATATCAGAACTTCTTTTTTAATTTTTAGAAGATTCATATCGATCCTATCATTTAATCGATGCTATCATTTTACACAAAAATTATTTTGCAAAAACTATTTCATTTACTTACAGCTTATTGAACAAAACAAAAAATACAAGAAAAGACAGAAGAAAAATTTGTTGAAAAAGTTTAACAATAGAAGATAAAACAAATAAAGGATAACATTTATCATAACATTAACAGATTAAATAATTTTAACAACAAAAAAAAGAAAATTTATAATAAATTTGATAAAATATTGGAAAATTTGTTTGTATACATAAGAAGAAAAACAAAGTTTCAAATATTTTTCAAATTATAAGGCTTATTGTGTATGACGAACTCTTTTTGTGTTCAAAAATAATCAAATTTTAAGTCGAAATGATCAAAAATAGATACAAAATAATTTTTAGAAATAAATAGAACAGTGGCAGTTGAGTCAGATTTTTTAATTTAACTTAACTAATTAATTTAGACCATACTAAATTGAAACAAAATTCGCAATACACAATTAGTCTTCTATAAACTTATAACATAAAAAAGAAAATTCATTATGTCAAATAATATTTGCGTATTTTAATAGAAAATATTTTTAAAATATTAAAAATTTCTTCATAAACTTGCAGTTTATTTTTGCAAACTTTCAATTAAATTAAAATTATAATAGATTTTACTGTATAATTAAATTAAAATTTTAAAATAAAATTTTATAAATTTTTTTTTAAAGTAACTTGATTTTTCATTCATTTATCTTATTCAATTATATCTTATTTAATTTTTTAAATTTCAATTTTACAATTTTGTATAATTTTATAAAATTTTCATTTGTTTCTGATTCTAAATTTTATTTAGAATGAGTGTTTTTATATTATTTGACATACTAAAATTAAAACTGTTACTAAAATAAATAGCAGATTAAAAATTTATCTATTATTTAAATTAATATTGCTTAAATTTTAAAGTTTTCCATTCAATTATCAATGTAAAATGTAAGGCTAGTTAAACTTTTTAGAAAATATTTTTGAAATTGTCTTTCATAATTGCTATTCTCTAGGTTGAAACGAAATTCATTTGAAACAAAATTCATTTCCGAAGACAATAAATATTAGAAAGGTAAAAAAAAAGTAAATATAACTGTTTGTGTTTTAATTTCAAATTATTTGGAATATGTACATATTTAATTTATTACATAATATTATGAAATATTTTTTTTAATAATTTAGTTGATTTTTCAAAGAATTTTAACATTTTTACAATATTTTTAAAATAATTCCAATTTTTATTACAAATATGGTAAATAAATTAGGAGCTCATAATTTCCGATCTCAAATTCAAGAAAATAATTTAATTTTGTATATTAATGTAATTTAAAATCAATATTTTTTTTTATTAACATGGAAATTGGAAAATTTTAATTAACATTAAATAATTAAATTTAATTTTTAATCTGCCTTATAAAAATATTCTACTTGAATAACAATAAAAAAAAGTTTATGAAATTTAATTAAAAATAATTTTCATAATTAATTTCACCTTTAATTTTCCGATTTAAAAAATTTTAATTTCATGAACTTATTTTATTATTTCTTATGAATAATTAAAAAACAAAAATAAGACTTTGTTTCGATTAAAAAATTAATATTTAAAAATTGTGAGAATTTTTGCAACTGAAATCCTCCACACAAAATATAAAAAACATTTATAATTTTTTAAAAGTAATTAAAACAAAAAAATAAAAATTTTTTATATCACAGTCCATTACAGCCAAAAATATTATAAAAAAAATTAATCAAAATTTAAATCAAAAATTTTTTTTCTAAATCTCGAAACAATTTCTTATTTAAAAATAATAGTTTTTTTTTTTTTTTTTTGAATACAAAAACCATTAATAATTAAAAAATTAAAAAATAAATAAAAATAAGAAAACAAAGCCATGCACTGACATTTATCAGGGTCTATGTAAATTTCATCATCTTCTTTCTCTGGATGTGATTCAATTGAATGATCATCGAAATCGTTTCTACCAACTGTTGTTGTTGGAGGATGAACGATTTCTAGATCATTATCTACATCATCATCATCTTCATTATCACTATCATCATCATCATCATCATCTTCATTATCATCACCATCGATATCACCATCACCTGAACCAGCAAGATTTCCTCCAGCACCACCACCTCCTATATCTTGATCGTGTCGATTTTTATCCTTTCTTGTATCTTGTCGATTATTATTATTATTATTTGATGGTGATTTATTATGAGTGTTTTTATTATGACTTATACGACTGGTACCAGAATCTTCATCATCTGGTCCAAAACCAGATCCAGAATAATCAGGTTCTTTTTCTAAATCATCGTGTATCTAAAAAAAAAACATATTTAAAATATCAAAAATTCTGGAAATTTAAAAATTAAAATTTAATTTAAAAAAAACACGGCATATACCTCTCCACGTCCACCAGAACCTTCTATACCTTCATCATCTATATAAATTTCATCTTTTAATGAATTACTGCTTCCACTACTGCTGATACTATGATTAGTAATTGGACTGACACTGCTACTTGATTCAGTTGAAAATGGTTTTGGTGGCTTCTGAAAATATTCAAAATAAAATGGAAAAATTAATATGTAAAATATTTGACAAAATATTTTTTATTATAAATTTGAAATTGAAGTATAAATTGATTTGAAAGGCTATAATTTTGATTTCAAAATAAAATTTTTAATTTTTTTAAAGAATTAGTTTTGAAATGTCTGGAACAACAACTGCTCAATTTTTATTTTTGTAAACGACAATTTTACAACCCAAGAATATTACATATATTTACGATAATGCTATATATTGGGGAAGCGATATTTATCGTAAACGTTCCAAAAATCTTATTATAGACAAGAATCATTTGTATGAATTGGTTTGTGTTTAAAATAATAATATTGAACCTTTTACGATAATATTATCACTATCACTTAGTGATTCGATAATCAGACTAAGCCCTATTATAATTTCGTTTTGAAAGGTTATAGTTTCATTCACAATAATTTGAATAATATTATTTTAACGTGCTTTGGAGAACTGACGTCGAATCCGGTATCAGAGACATTTTGAATAAAATTTGAAATTCATTTTGTTAAATTGTAAAAATTTCCTGGACATGTAGGCAGGTATGTAAAGAAATTTATTACGAATTTATTTTTAAATTTTAAAAATATTTATTTTAAAATAAATTATGGGTGTATAATATAAAGGCTGTACATTAAGAGAACATATTCGAAATTCCAAAAAACAAAAATATTTTTTTTACAATAATTAAATTTATAATTTAAGATAACTGTGGCGAATGAATTTTTGTAAGAATAAAAATTCAAATATTTATGTAAAAAATCGATAAAGATCCATGTAAGTTTAAAAATAACCCTTAATCCTTAAAAAAATAATACACTTTTTTTTCTTATATACCATAAATCCTCTAAAATATTTACGATAAAATACATATCTGTCTAAACAAATAATATAGATTACGTACAAAATAACAAAGGTTACCCCTTTAAAAAATAGAACAAATGTATTTAAAAAAAAAATCTATAAATTTGTTATATAGGTGTAGAATTTCAATAACATTATAAAAAATGGTTTCTCGTGTATTCTTAAAATATATTTTACTTATTTATAAATTATAGTTGCGGTTTAACCTACACTAATCAAGTCTAATACATGCTAATAGACAAGATTACTCCACAGAGACAAGATTTAAAACTTCCTACGTAAAAAAAAAAAAAAACAAGTTGTAAAATTAAATATAAAATTTTGTGGTTAAAAACAAAAACGGCCTAAATCGAAATTTAATATTTGTTCTATTTTATTGTAAATTCGAAATTACGGGGAATTACGGGGAAAAAAGTGTAAATAAAATGCAACTTCTTTTAAAAATTTTCAAAAACTTCGAAATAAAAATTTTAAATCACTTTCACTGCCACGACATTTTTAAGCCTTTTTTGAATAGCTTTTTGTCAGTCAAAAATACATGACTACAAACAACAAAATTGTTATGACAGACACATCGACCTGACACAGAGTTATTCAAAAATTGCCTTGCCAATCACTCTTGGAATATATTTTTATTTTTTTAAGAGACTGACAGTCATTATAGTCAAAGCAAGAAAAAATTTTAACGCTGGAATGGGACTTTTCTAATTTTCAAATACCTGTTGGTACTTATTAATTTTTTTCACCGTACGATGTCGCCAACTACAAAAAAAAATTGTTGCGGTAGCGGGAACAATTTTAATTATTTTCTTTGTTGCCATTGTTGACGCAGTAACATATCAGGTCTTCTTGACTGACCTGGCAGTGAAAATATAAATTTTACTCAAAGCAACCTTTTTCAAAATTGACAATATTTTTGTTTTGCAAAATTGCAATTTTAAAAATGAACTTTTGAAATTCTTTATTTATTTTGTCCGTGCAATTCATTTATGCAACTGTATATATGCATACACAAATTTATGTAGTATAAGATTAAAAAAAACTTATTCTGATTTGTGAACCTTTAATATTTTAGTCCATTATACATATATATACATAGAATGAGCTTAAAATTTTCCAATAATATATAAATATACATTTTCCTTTTTCTATCCCTAAGGGTCTAAAAGCCTTTCAGGACTTTTTTTTTCTTCTCTTTTAATACCACAAAGGTAAAATAAAATGAAAAAAAAAATGTTCAATAAACGAATTTTTTTTTATGATAAAGAAGAGAAGGTTTTTTTTTGTTAAAAGCAAAATTATTGATCCTTGTTATATACACACATTTTTTACGTCATACGTCATATAAAGACTTTATTAACACAAATCTATATATACATGCATTATGTATTCATTTACATAATATACAATATGTTCCAAATAAACACAAAACTTAAATAACAAATATTTTCTAAAAACTTAAAAATTATTTTTTTTTTTTCAATTTGAATTAAAATATACACACATTCTGTGATGAAATTTTACATATGGCATAAAAATATAAGAAGAAATAAGAGAGAGAGAGAGAAAGAAAGAAAAAACGAAAGTTGCTTGTATAAATATCTTAAGAAACCTTGACAAAAAAAAAACATTTAAAGATGCTATCGCATCATCTCTTAGAATAGCTCACCTCACCTGTATTTTTTATTACATTTTTAATAATATGTGCAAGTATTTTAACCTTCAAATGAATTTTTAATTATTCTATTATCCTTGTTCACATATTATACACAAATGCACATACCAACATATAATATGTATATCCATACATTTATATAAATTTATTTGTAATATTATAAAATTTTAAATTTAAAAGCATATAAAAATAGCATAAAAGGAAAATTCAACTTTGCCGTTTCAACTTAATTTCACCTTTTTGCATATGGTATTCTACCTTTTATTTTTCCGATATTCTTTCAATACATTCAATATTATATTTTTTTTCAATTGATGAGAAAAAGGAACAGAATCAGTCTGTTTGTTGGTGCTTTTTTTTTCAAGGCAATATTCTGTAAGGATATCAGTTTTAATGAATCGTAAATAATGACGTATACATTTATAAAATTGGTGAAACAAAATTATTTGTAATTCATTAAATTGAACGAAAAAAAAATTAAATAAATTGATTTATAATATACTTAAAATATATTGATTTTTTTTTTTTTTGAAATCTCGAACAAAAATATTTGAAATTATTTCTATTTCAAGTTCGATATCGAACGATTTTGTTTGAACAAATCGTAATTTGGAACAGAAAGTATAACAACTGTGAACGAGAAATGAATGCCTATCCCTGAATATGATCTTAAAATTTATATCACAGAAATATAATGACTATCAAAATTATTTCATAACTTCAACAATATTTAAATAATTTCTCCGTCCCTGTGAATTTGCTAGAATTACTAGTATATATACTGCTAGAATTTTTAAGGATTTCTAATACTATTTTATAATTATTTGAGATTTAAAATTAATTTAGACTGAATTAATAAAAAATTCCATACATGTATGAACATAAATCGAACATTGTATGATCAAACATTGTATGATCAAACATTGTATGATCATACATTATATGATCATACATTAACTTTCATACATTTTTGAATGAATGCATATATGAATTTCATATAATTACAACATTTATTAAACCCGAATGATCTCGAAATTGGGTCAATAATAATTTTTCATTTTATCATACAAAATTATTCTAAACGAAATTTCAATTTATTTACAATATAAATATTGTAATTTCTATTTATGCGAATAATTTTATATTTTACGTATAAAAAAACACACAAAAAAAAAAAATAAGGAAAATGTCATTGAAGGTGTCATGTTTGTTGTATTTCGATATTTTTAGAGCCCATTAAAAATTCAATTTTTTATTTTTGAAAAAAAAAAATCAAACATTACACAAATATTATGCATATTTTCTTTATATATAATTTCAATATATTATATATACATGCATTATAATATACATATATATATATATATATATATACATGTAGGTAAGATAATTTTATTTGGCATACCAAAAAGGTCACAGAATTATATTTTATTGGAAAAATGTCCTTGTTTTTCATAAAATGCCTATGAGCATTTACATATACACGTACCCAAAACGAAAAAAAAACATTTATAAAAACGATAAATATTTTAACACAGAAAAAAGAAAAAACAGAAAAACCGAAATGGAAACCATAGAAAAACCTTGATTTAAATTTGATAATAATTTCATGAACAAGAATCCAAGAATTTTAGAATTTTTATTATAAAAAACAAAAAAAAAAATTAGAACAAAATGTTTTTTTTTTAAATTGCACGTTTATCATTGCCAAAAAAAAAAATTTAAATTATAAAGACTTTTAAAAAAAAAAAGTAATTGTCAAAAAAAAACAATAAGGTTCTTTACAAAATTGAGGGCAATATAAAGGATTTGAAAAAAATGAACTTTTTTATAAAATTACCCACAAAAATTAAATTAATTAATTGGCATTCACTTGAAATTTTTACTTAAAAAAGAATTGTTCGGTTAAATTTACATAAAAAAGTTTTTGAATCAGGCAGAAACAGGTTTTTGTTACAAATAATATTGTATAACAGTTTTTAAACTAAATCTACCGAAATGATTAAAATTTAATACTACTGCATTGGATTTACATTAAAAATAAAATTGAATAGCTTTAAAAATATCCTGGCAATAATGTTTAGCCTATTTTAATAAAAACCATAAAATAAAGGTACATAGTATAAGCCTTCCATCTATGGAATTTTGAAAACTTCATATAGTTTTTCCATTTTATAATATAATTATAATATATAACACCTTATATTTAAAATATTTATATAAATTTTAATGGTGTATATTAAAATTTTTGTTATTTTATCCATTTAATATTCTTCATATAATGTTATATTTGACCTATATTTAATATAGGTCACATAATGTATAATGAATGTGAATGTAGATATGAATAAGAAAATATTATTTAAATTAATGCAAATTTTTTTCTTTACCCTAAATTTTAAATATTATAATTAATTTTAGTATGAATTTTAT